ATCCGTGGGAGGCAGTCGTGAAGCATCTGGATCGCGCTGGAGTCGGCACCTCGGTGTGACTCCATCTGGTCGACCTGGAATTGGACCTGAGAGATGATCGGCCGATCTTCGGCGATCCTAGCATCGACCAAGGCATGAGCTTGCTGCGGCTCCTGTCTCATTGTGGCCGTCTGAGCGGCCAGACCCGATAGCTGTTGGGTCGCGCATGCTTCGACCTGGTCTCGAAGCTCTGCCTGATAACTGGCGGCGGGAGAGGATGGCGCAACGAGGTTGCGCAGCTGATAGCCCTCCCGGGAGCGCCATCGTGATGGGCTGCGGCTGGCATCTCGAGTAGGAGAACGAATGTGATGCCACTCTGAAGCCTGTCGCTGGGACGTCCGGCCAGTGCGATTCTCTATGACCCGCGCGTGCTCTGAGACAGAGACGTTTGTAGGCGACGGAACATTGGCCCAGCGGCGGCTACGAGCGAGAGGAATGACAGGAGACACGTTCGCTGTGCAGTGGCCGCTGCGGGCGTCCACCGACGCTGGAGTCAGCAAAAGTGGGTGGTGAGGCAGTGGGCGTAGTGAAGCCAGGGTCGGCTCCGACGACCGACGCGGCAAATGCGGGCGTTGCCACCGACGAGCGGGATGTATCAGTCTCCGCGGGAGGCAAATCCGGCCGCTGTCGCGAGGGTCGTGGCGCGTGAGAGGGGAGGCCGCCGCAAGAGACGCAGCGCTGCCGTCACCTGAGAGGGGAGAAATGGGTATCAGAATTTCTCGTGCCCTCTCCATGATGCCATTACGAACATGCGCCGTCGAGGAGAACGCGCGCTAGAAGGCAGCACAACGAGGTTGTGGCGCCAAGCGGAGACATCCAAGAGGACGCGGATTGCAACAGCAAAGAGCGGTTCAGAGAAGGCTGATAACCTGCGGATGCAGGGAGACTGCCGAGGGGCCGTTCCTGTATGAGGTCCGTAGGTAGAGGTTTCTTTTCCTGGGCGGTGCGCAACGAGCAGTGCGCCAATATCAGTTTACCAGTACCTTGAGCCAGTACAGTAGCAGAAGGGATGTCATAGGGAAGTGAGCGGACTTCACACGCACCATCAGTGTGAACAGTACGGCCTGCAGGAGTACACCCAGAAACGCGATGATAATGAACCTCCGCATCGCAAGGAAAATCAGCAACACCTTCAGCCCAAAAACCCTCTCGAAGAGGAGTGGCCTCGGCAGGAAAAGCGGCAACACCACCAACAGGAAGAGGGACAGTCCCACTCGGAGGAGCAGCACCGTCGCGGCGAACAATGACGACGGCTTGAGCACCTCCAGCAACGGGAAGACCATGAACCTCCGCAGGCCCAGTCAGCTCGGCAACACCTCCAGCCCCAACGGCGCCCCGAAGAGGAGCGACATCGCCTGGAAGGACGGCGCCAGCACCGTCAGAGACAGGGGCGACTCCATCAGGGGGACCAGCATCACTACGGCGAACAGTGTGGGTTGGATCAGCACCCCCAGAAACGTGCGGACAGGGAACCCCCGCGTGGCCAGGAAGATTTGCAGCGCCGTCGGCCCCAGCACTCTCACGATGAGGGACGGCTTCGCCAGGAAGAACGGCACCAGCACCACCAGGGAGAGGGACGACACTGTCAGGAAGGACGGCCCCACCGAAGTGACCAGCGCGAACTCCTCAAAAGCACCTCCAGAGACAGGAGGGCTACGAGCACCAGCGCCTGCAGGAAGGCCGGGACGACCACAGTCGTGGGCACCTGCGCGACCTCGATAGCGGCACCCGCCGGCGGCCGACCTCCGACACCGAAGGCGGCAGGAACCCGAACAGCAGGATCGGCACCTCCAGGGATGTCATCACCGCCGCCATGCCCAGGGGGAAGAGCCTCCACAGCAGCATGAGCAAGAGGGGGAGCCGCAGCGATGCAGAAGGGCGAGACACCACTGGAGTCCCTGTGGCCATGGCCGGCAGCAGTCGCATCGTCGAGGTCCCCCATCATCATGCGCATCATGCCGGCGAGAAGGCCGCTGCGGACGGCAGGGGCGACATCGGCAGCAGATCGACCTTTACGACCAGCTCGTCCTTGTAGGTGCGCACGCGAGCGGAGCTTGCCGCCCAGCCTCGAGTTCCATGTTCGCCCGCGCGATGCGCGCGGCAGAGACCATGGCACCAGACCGCGGTAGCCAGGGAACGAGAGAAGGCAGACGGAGGGGGGCCGCAAGAGCAGCCCTGTGGCCATACCTCCAGCACGTGCTTGGGCCCAAGTGGCTGGGATGATGGCTGATGATGATGATGCTGCTTCTGATGATAATGATGACCATCATGGCACTCCCAGTCCGAAGCAGTAAAACAGACGGGTTCACGCATGGCCGGTCTTGCGTGCGCAAGCCTTTCGGAAGACGGCCCGCGATCAGGGTGAAGCATGATGCCGAGAAGCAGCACTGTTTACATCGGGCCACGAGGCCGCTGCTCTGTCGTCTCGGCAAAAAGGTGCGACAGGGCCTTACGCATGGTCGCCAACTTGATGTGCAGGCAATTCGCCCCCCGCATCTCGCAACACATGTCTTCTTTCCCCCGCTCTTCTTCGTCTCCGCCGCTATCTCTTCGTCCGTTAGAACGTTTCGCTTACCCTTTTGCTTCGGCTTGTTCGGGTCGTGCGCCAAGTTGCCTTCCTTACAATGGCTGATTACTGTGGGGCCTGAGGTGGCGTCCTTCTTTCCAACCTTCGGCGGCATGGCTGAGGGCAGCCTAGGGGTGGGATGGAGCAGGGCCAAACGCCCACCGAAGCCAAAACGGCGTGAGCCAAAATGGCTACGGACGATGATGATGATGATGATGATGATGATGATGATGATGATGATGATGACGGTGGTGATGATGATGATGATGATGGTGGTGGTGATGGTGATGGTGATGATGATGGTGATGGTGATGATGATGATGATGATGATGATGATGATGATGATGATGATGATGATGATGATGCTAATGCTGATGACGATGATGCTGCTGATGCTGATGCTGATGATGATGGCGATGACGATGATGATGATGCCCGTCTCGTGAGCCCCGACTGGGGAGAAGGTTCAGACCTCCGGGGGCGACGCATCGAGAAACTCCAGTCGTCGGACGTGTGGGGCCCATCCTCGTGTTAGGTCGGGCATGTCCTCCTCCTGCAGGGTGCATCCTTGAACGAAGAAACGGAAATGCTGCAAACAGCATTCAAAACTGGCACCAACAGAATACACAAAAAGAAATCGTACCCAGACTGTGTTTGGGACTATCCGTGCATACTCCTCCTGTAGAGGGACGTGCCCGACTCGATCCTCGTGGGCCGGGCCTTGCACACTCCGTCCTGGCCATGGCCAGGGGGGAAGGCGCGCACGCTGCTGCGGGGCCCGGGGTGGGCAGGGCCAGGAAGGCCCCCGGGGGGGGCCGAACGGTCCTTCCCCCGTCCCCGGGGGCGTGGCCGAAAAGGGGATTCCGCGGTGCGGATTCTCGTTGCTGCTGTTGGCGTGTTGTTGGTGTTGCCTGTTTGCTTGTTTGTTGGTCTGTTCCCTGTTTGTTTGTCTGTCTGTCTGTGTGCCTGTCTGTCTGTCTTCCGTCTTTCTGCCTGTCTGTCGGTCTGTCTGTCTGCTTTTGTTGGGCGTCGTCCCGCCCGCGACCCTGTAGATAGATCATCTCGCCCAATGTCCGCTCCGCTCTCTTCGCCACCTCCCCTCTCCCACTTCCCCCCGCCCATCGGCCGCATCCCAGGCTGGTCTAAATCAGAAGCAGAAGGGGAGGAGGACAGGAAAGGGGGTGGTTCGCGAATCAGCAATCCGTAGCTGGGAGGAGGAGGATAGTAAAGGAGACGAGGATAGAAAAGGGGGGGTTAGCGAAAAAGAATAGCAAATATATTGATGTTTGTCCACATTCCCCCTGTAGGAGGACATGCCCGACCGAATGCCAATCTGAATGCTGGCCTTGTGCGCGATCGGCGCATGAGGCAGCATAGCGGCGTCCACGCGCCCTTGGCGTGATTACGACTCCTGTGTGTGGGAGCGGTTTTGCGGATCCCTGGTCCCCGCGCCGCGTGATCTGGCCCCGCCTCGCGCGCTGTCCCGCTCGACTGCCTACGCCGCGCCGCCGCGCGCTTGGCCGCGACCCCCCCTTAAAGCATTGTCTAAACATACACAGATATACATATACACATACATACGCACCTCTAAAAAAATGCCGATATACACATAAACAATATACATACATATGTGTGTTGGGAAACGCACAGGCACCCATATCGCTGCTACCTGGACCTCTCCTGGGGTGCATTCCGACGAAATCTTCGAGGCAAATCCAGCGGTGGCGGCGAGGCCACCCCAGGAGGCCCAGAGAGGCGAACACAAAACAACGGTGATGGCATCGGTACCTCTTCCTTCTCTGATGGTGTGTTAAAGAAGAACAACTGCCATGCACATGAACTTGTGGTGCTCCTCGCGGATTTTTGGGGGTCTGCGCTGGACCCCCATCCCTGGCGCGCTCCGCGCGCCAGGGACGACGCCGGAGGCGCCGCCAGGCGGTGCCCAGCGCGGATCCAGCAAATCCGCGCGGACCGCGAAAGTTTATTCTTACAACCAACCTATATCATGAGGATGCGCGGTAAGGAAGCAATGGCCTTGGAGGGCCATGTTACAGCTGTTTCCTCACACGAAATTGGCCAACGAAAGTAGCCAACGACAATGCCGTTGTTGTGTCTTCGATACTTGCGCGTGTGTGTGTGTGTGGGTGTGGGGGGTGTTGTGTGTTGTGTGTGTGTGTGTGCGTGTGTGTGTGTGTGTGTGTGTGTGTGTGTGTGTGTGTGTGTGTGTGTGTGTGTGTGTGCGTGTGAGTGTGTGTGCGTGTGTGTGTGTGTTTGTATGCGTGCGTGCGTGCGTGCGTGCGTGCGTGTGTGTGTGTGTGTGTTGTGTGTGTGTGTGTGTGCGTGCGTGTGTGTGTGTATGTGTGTGTGTGTCGAGCGGGCCCTGGGCGGGCGAACCGTCCCTGGTCCAGCCCGCCACGATCGCCCGCTGCACGCCGTCCGCGCCCGTGTGCAAGGCGATCGCCTGCGCCCCGCCGCGGCGCGCGGCCCCCCCCCTCCCGCCCACGCCAAGCCCTGGAACCTCGCGACAAACCCCCGCCGGAAGTACCCCCGCCCGCACCCGGCCCTGGAAGCTCGCAACAGGCCCCCGCCAAAGCACCCCCCACCCACCCACCCCTATCTTCCTCCTCTACTTCCTCCACCTCCTCTTCCCCGTCAACATCTCTCCTGCTCCTCCCGCGCCCGTGCATCCCCCGTCCGCGCACGCGCTGGTCCTGGCCGCTCCTCCCTGCGAGCCCGCGCGGCCTCGCGTCGTGAAAACCGTTTGGCGCTGCTCCGTGGGGGGGGGGGTAGGAATAGAGGCCTCCTAGATGGGGGGACCGAATAATGGGGTCGAAGGATCGCGCCGCATCGCCAAATCATCACCGATGCATCGGCGATGCATCGGCGACGTCGGCGCGAACCAAATCGGGATCCGCATCGATGCTGCGCGATCCTCCGACCCCAGCTGCTCGGACCCCATGAGGGTGGCCTTTCGGGCAGATGGTGTTGGGGGGGAGAGGAACGCGCGGCGCTTTGGTGCCCCTGGCGGGCCCCAGGGGTGCCTGCTGGGTGCCCCTTCAGGGCACAAGACCTTCTTCACCCCCCACTGCGGAGGACGAGGAGGAGGAGGAGGTGGAGGAGGTGGGGAGGAGGGGGAGGGTGAGGGTGAGGGTGAGGGTGAGGAGGAGGAGGAGGAGGAGGAGATAAGGATAAGGCCCTTGGGGGTCTGAACGTCGGCCACTGTACTTGCTCGACTGACCCCTGGGCGGGGAAACGGACGCAGGCTCCCGCCCGCCGGCGATCGGGGGCTGCCCGGCGCGCGCGGCCCCCGACCCTGTGGCGGTGAGCCGCTGCGCCGTAGCAGGGGGGCCCTGCCTTGGTGAGCTGGCACTGGGACGCAGGCGGACCCCTCCCACTCCCCATTCTCCCCCGCCGCCTATCTCGCTACTGTCGGCACGATGCGGGAGCAAAAGGAAAACAAATCGCCTGCTGTTGCTGGCTGCGGGGGCTCGCCTGGTGCTAGTGGCTACTCTCCGCCTGTAGTAGTTCACGCAGCCGCGCCTACTGACATGCTCACAGTGGTTCGTTCAGAGTTATGTTCGTAGACAAAAAAAATTGACAAATGAAAAACTGCATGGCCATGTGGGTCGACGTTGTAAGCAAAAACGCGACGTCAGGGATCTGGGGATCGAGATTCGAAGTTTGGGATCTTCTTGGGCTTTGGAGCGGGCTCTAGAGGCGAAGGAAAAACAGCTGCATGGCCATAAACGTTAGGAGCTCCGCGCGGACTGCTTGGGCCTGCGCTGCACCCCCCTGGCGGCGCTTCCGCCGCGCGCCGGTCAGGGGAACCCTGGCGCCGCTCCAAGATATCAGCGCGGAGCTCCGAAAGTTTATTTTCATGCAGGGGTGCTCCTTCGGCTCCTTAGGAAGTCCCGCCCCAGAAACCCAAAACATCCCAAACCTCGATCCTCGATCCCCAGAACCCCGACGTCGTGTTTTAGTTCACGGCGTCGAACCCCAGAGGTTTGAACCTCTATCCCGACTGGCTTATCATCCAGAGTCGTTCTTTGATGGCCCCGGGACCCAGTAAGGGCCCCGAGGGTCCAGAACTATCACAAAACTCCCGTCCTGATTTTGTCGTGACCCGAGGGGCTTATGGATCTTCACTCACGACGCCTGAACACATCCACATACAACTGGTTGTGGTCATCGCGCACCCCCCGCAGCCTGTAGCTCGTCGTCGAACTCGGACACGACGCTGCCCAACCACTCGAAGTCCAGGTCGCTCGAGAACTTCACCACCGTACCGTCCGAGCCGCCTTCGGTCCCCTGGGCAGAAGAGGAGGGGGAGGAGGAGGAGGAGCACGGAGAAGCGGGAAGACAGGGAGGAGGTATGGAACAGGTGAAGCAGCAGGAGTTCGGAACATGGTGATAATACTGCTGGTGTTGGTGCTGGTGTTGGTGCTGCTGGTGGTGGTTATGGTGGTGGTGGTGATGATGGTGATGATGATGATGCTGATGCTGCTGATGATGATGATGACGAGGAGGAGGAGGAATAGAAGGAGGAGGAGCAAGAACCAGAGGGGTAGGGAGAATGAAGAGGGCGGATGAGAGGTTGGAGGGTGATGAGTGCGGAGGCAGAAGGAATAGCAGGAGGACATGGAGGAACATAACGAGCAGTCATCTCTTGTCTACCACCCCCATGCTCATCCTCCTAATCCTGCTCATTATTCTCTTTCACCTTTCTTCCTCCTCCTCCTCATCATCATCATCAGCATGACCACTGCCACCACCAACACCAACACTACGACCACCATCGTGACGATCACCACCATCACCAAAATCTTCACTATCATCATCAGCAGCGGCATCAACATCAACACCACTCACCTATACCCATGTATCTTATCCCACGCATGAGGCAGGCATGTGGGTGCACCAAGTGGGCGTCGGGGTGCCAATCAAGGATGGACTGGCCGCTCAAAGACTGGAGTCGGGTGGAGACAGGAAAGTTGGAGAGATGGGAAGGGGCGCCAAAATCGGTAAGGTGGGGCTCAAAGACGGAAGTCGACAAAACTGCGCGCCAGAGTGGGGGAAGCAGGAGCCAGAAACGGAGCCGGAGCCGGGGAAGCGGGAGCCGGAGTCGGAAAGGTAAAACCCCAATTCGGAGACATGGAGATGGGCGCGGGGAGCCGGAGCTGGACGATTTGGAACTGCACCCGGAAAGATGGAGCCAGAGTCGGAAAGACACGAACCGGAGTCGGAGAGATGAAGAAGGGGGCTGGGAGCTAGAGCCGGAGAGGTAGGGGGCCGAAGTTGGACAGACAAAAACTGGCGCTGGGGTTGGGGAATCGGCAATCGTGCCGGCGAATTGTTACGGATTCCGCGGGTGCCACGCCGGAGTCGGAGGCCGGAGTCGGAACCATGATTGATGGGGCGACATCGTGCGCGCATGGCGGGAACAATGGGGCCGCATAGAGGAAAACAGGACCGAAACGTAGCCAGCCGACATTGGAAGGATCGATCTGGGGTCGGTTTGGTTCACGTATCCCTGCTCGAGTGCATCCCAGATCGCCGCGGCGGCAACGCCGAGAACTGTGAGGCAAACAAGCGAAGGAGGACGGGACTCGCTTGAAGGCTGATAAGCTTGCCGCCGTTGTTCCATCGTCACAAAACTTCGCGCAAATACTTGCCTATGTCATGTAGCCATGTATGCTTGGGACGACCAGTCCAGCGGCTTGCGCTGAACCGATGGCCCGATTCGGGTGTCCAAAGTGCAGCACATTCGGCCCATTCGCCAACTTTCGTTGTCGCCAAGTGCCAGAACCACCTCCATTTTCGTGCCGTGTTCTAGTCATCGGTGCTGAACCGCTTTATGAATTCCTCCGCTGTGCGCGTGGATCGTCGTATCAAGGTTATTTCATATCTGCCGGTGGTGCTGGTGCTGGGGCGGCTTCCGCATCGAAGTCGCTGGCGTTGTCTGCGGCGTCGTGGTCTTGTGTGTCGGCGACATTGCTGCGAGCGGATGACGCACTGGGTTGGTCGTCGAGGCGCGGCGCTCGCCGAAACATCAACAGCAACTGTCAATGGGTCTTCTGAAGCCGTTCCTCCAACAATTGCCGTGGCACATGCGTCGCAGCCGCGCGAGACCGTCGGCGCAATCGCGGCTGCACGTGAGTTCGGGGCTCCGCGCGTGGAACCTTACTTGCGCCGGAGCGTTGCACTGCGATTGTTTACCTACACAGCGTGACTATCGTCGAGTTGTACCTTGTTGTCCAAGCGCTTGGCGCTTTGATCCGGCGGCGCGACTTCAATGCGCACAATATCTGCGCCCCCGCGCGTCGGTGGTCGTCCAACTCTGGCGCGCCGGTGTCCGTTGTGCAGCGTCTTCGTCTCGTCGAGGTCTTTCCCTTCCATGCTCCGTTCGCCGAACGTTGATTTGGCTTGGTTAAGTTCTGGCGTTGACAAGCATGTCATCGGCGAATCGGAGATTCTTGAGGAAGTCAACTGCGCGTCTATCTTAGCAGCCTTTTATCTTCTCCAAAGCCCCAGCGCGCTCGACACGCCGCTAGATCTGCTCGGAAACGCTGTTAACCAGAAAGGAATGAAACGGTCAGCCCTTTTGATGCCTCGTCGGATTGCAAATGGCCGTTTGGCACGAAGGGCCCTGATCGTTGGCATTATAGTTTCGACAGCAATTTGGTATATGGCGACGGCGTGCCTTGGTCTGCCAGGGCCCCAAAAATTCTGCCGCGCGCCACGCTGTCGAACGCTTTCTTGGCGCCGACTGCTGCTGCCGCGGTGTCCTCTATTCGTCGGCACTCTCTTGTGCTATGGGCGCAATGAAAAAAAGGTCGGCGGCCCCTCGGCCGTGCCTGAAGCCAGTGCATGCCGAGCTCTGCTGTCCGTTATCCTGTGGCTGGAGACGGTTTAAGACAAGTCTTGGAGGCAACTTGTAGAGCATGGGGATGGTACCCATTGGTCGGTGGTGATGCCCTTGTCGTGGGTCTCTGCTCTTGTGTAAGACCTTCATTGCAGCGTGCGGCCAGCTACTCCAGACATCGAAGCATCGGCGGCGATGCCAGCGCAGTCGGGTGTTTCGTTGGTCGTGGGCTGCGTTGAGGCTCTTCGTAACTTTGGTATTGTGATCAGTGGCATTGCTACTCCTGGTGCGTGTTTGCTGGTGTCTGGCACATCCTCGTCGCGTTCTTGTTGGTGTCGTCGTAGAGCTGCTCGTAAAATGTGGCGACCACGTCAGCTATGGACTGTCGATCGTATCGGTCGCGCCCGTCGATGTCAAACATGCTGGGCATGAGAGCCTCCGTGATACTTCGCAGCGCTGGCGTGCCTGCAGGTTCTACACTCAATCAGAATGCGGTCGATTGCAGCTCGCCAGGTCGCCCGCATCACTGCTCGGATCTCGCGGCGGATGTGCTTGCTGAAGTGGTTTCTTGTTGCCGTCTAAACGGTTGGCGCCGCCCTCCGCAGGCGCGAAGGCTGTTGCAGCGCGCCGTTCACCGGTTGAGCGGTCGAAGGCCCAAAGGCGAAATGGGTCGGGTTTGAGCTGGCGTCTCTGCTTATGACCGTTCAATGCAATCGCATCACATGCGCAGCTGGGCGTCTACTGGGCGATAGTCCTAAATGCCAGTCTCCAGGTTTGTGTTGGCACGCAACGATGTCTGGCGGTGGCCGCGGCGGTCGTTGCTGCCAGTGATGCCTGTCCTTTCCTCGGCTCGCGCGTTGCTATGTTCCTTCTTGGTCGCTGTCTGCCCGTCGAGCTGATGCGGAGCAGGTCATTCGCAACGCGCGGTGGCCAGCTCCCATATCGAGCCTTGGCGTCGACTCGCAATCCACAGCGTGGCGCCATAGTTTCTTATCTGCAAACAGAATCAAAATTGATGGCGCATCTGTCCTGGCGACGTATACGACGTGCGCAACGCAACTGTGTAGAGAAAGTGTGCTCGTGACTCTGAGCCGCTGGCCAGGAGCCCTCCCCCTGCTTCAAGCACCCCCCCTCCGATATGCGCAGCGCCGACCCAATGCCGTCCAATAGCGCGCCTGTCATCCTCCTCCGCTCGAGCACCTACCCGGGCATTGAAACCGCCGCCAACGGTTGTGACTACAGGCTTTGTCCAATTTTACTTCTGATTTTGTGGGTCCACCTTTCAGGGGGCACGCTGCTACGCGCATGCGAAACTCGCCCGTTCCGACGAACATTCCTCTTGGACACTGGGGACAGCGGCGACGCTCAACGACCTGCCGCGCCCCACGTATGACCCTGGCACGACAACAGTCGGGCTGGCCGGACGGGCGAGTTGTTTTTTTCTCGGCGGCTTCCCCTGTTCCTAGTTGTATACCAATGCAAAATCACTTTAGGATGACGTCCGCCGCTTCCCCGAACCACACCCTGCGCGAAACCGTCACAGACAACCCCCCCTGAGAGGCAGTACCACACTGCGGTTGTATGTCGTCGTGGTCAACTCGCGGAACGAGGATCCACGGCAGCGGAGAGCTTCTTCCGCCGAAACGCTTCGGCGCTCTATCGAGCGTTCAAAGCAGCACTCGGTGGTTCAGCCTCTCGCCCTTCGGGTCGCCGAGCTCCTTCATGCAGCACGTGGAGCTCGAGTGAAGGTCATCCACCTCCAAGTTGCGTTTGATGAGCGTCTTGCAAAACGTCCTGTTTCAGGTTTGCCGACGATGCGGCCCGCAGGCGGGCGCCTGGTAGAGCCCTGGCCAACGGGCTGGGAGAACCATGCGGGGCAAAAGCATTATGTTGCCAAAGTTGGCCCGGAGGATGCGCTCCAAGCGGCCGACCGTCTGGGCGACGCCCACCCCTGTCTGCTTCCACTCGCTGCCCACGATCTCGTGATAGACCGTGCGTCTGAACGGTGCGATGAACCGCCAGATCTTGTCCCCGAACTGCGCCAGCTTCGTGGCGGAAGGCGAAGCGAACACATTCTGGGCCGTGGCCTTCACACCAGGCGACATCCAACGCTTCGTCTTCTCGTAAGACGCATGCTTCTCATCGAAATTGCTCCGCGGCCTGTCCGACAAGATCGTGTGGCACTCGTCGTCATCATCGTCGTCACAATCGCACTCGTCGTCGTCGTCCCCGTCATCGTCGGCGCGCCATTTTGTAAAGAAGGTACCACACGATTCTTCAATATGGAACCTGTTTGAACCCCCCCCCCCAATAGAATGTGCAAGGATGCCTCCAGCGAAACGCTCGTTTCCCATTCGTTTGAAACCGACTTCTGCTGTTTGGAACGGCCTTGGAGCCGCCAATACGATTTGTGGCGAGGAAGACCCAAGCGATTCGGCGAGTTGGAACCACCACTAACTGTTTGGAACCTGGTTTCGAACGATTGCTTGCAACCGATTGGAACCACCTGTTCGACGATTGCAACCGCCATCGCATTGTTTGGAACCCGGTTCAAAAACGTTCTGCACGGAAATCTCAAGCGAAACGCTCGGTTCCGAATTGTGTGGATTGTTCGGAACCGCTTTGGAACCGTCACGACGGCCTGTTTTGCGAGGAAAACCTCGGCGATTCGGTCATCTTGAACCGCCATCGCATTGTTCGGAGCCCGGTTCCAAATGCTTTTTCACGGACCTCTCGAGCGAAACGCTCGTCTTCCAATTGTTTGGAGACGACCCCTATTATTTGGAACCGCTCTGGAACCGCTACGACGGCCTGCGTTGCGCGAAAATCCCCTGCTGTTCGGCGATTTGGAATCGCCATCCCGTGTATCTCAATCAACATGTACTTTCCGTTCCAGACCCCCGAATGATTTCCCTCCACCCTCTCGCCTGCTCCCCCCTTACTCCCTATTCACACTGTGAAAAGCTCCACGTCCCTCGCGGGACGACTCTTCATCCCCCAGTGCCACACACGGGATCATGAGCTGAGACAGGAAAACGCCTGTAGTTAATTGCTGCAGGCTTCCATGCGCATCTGCCCCGAAGTCGTCGTATATATTTCGAATGTGCCTGTTGCCATACCCCCCCATGGATCATATGCAGATACCAAGCGCAAGCTGAGATTATGTATCCTGACGTCTGCATAGCAAATTCGCTCAACCACTCGCTGAAACTTGGTAACATCCCGATTCCACCATCATCATCATCAGCAGCAGCAGCAACATCAGCATCACCATCACGATTGTCAAACACATCACCATCATCACCATCATCCTGAGCATGATCATGAACATGATCAGCATCAGCATAATCATCATGCTCAGGATCCTGGTCACCATCACCATCACCATCATCAGCAGCAGCACCATCATCATGCCTCTGTTCCTGTTCTGCCCCTCCTCACTCCCTCTCGCATCACCATCATCCTCCACCCAGTCGTGCTCCCCCTCCGCCCCACCCACCCACCCGGCCTCTGCCTACTCGACCTCCATCTTTCTCCCCCTCGGCTCCGTTCCCCTTCCCCCTGCTCATCCTCGTGCTCCTTCTGAGGCGAAACTGCTTTCAGAAGGCCCGCTCGTGGGCTCGCCAGGCCCAGCATCGGGTTCCCGCGGGTCAGAGCAACGTAGATGCTCCCGTCGTCACCCACCTCGGCCGTGCTCCCCCCTTCGTAAGGCCCTGAAGAAGAGAAGGGGGAGAAGATGAGGAAGGGGGAGAAGAGCAAGGAGGGAAAAACAAGGAACCTGTATCATACGATACGGGACGTCACGGGATCTTGGAGGCGTCTGTGGGACTCTGAAATTTCTTCGGGTTGGCCAAAACCATCTCAGCGACAATGCAACCGCAAACCGAACTGTCGAATCAACAACGAAACCGCAACCGACAGAAACCGACACGCCGCAAGCAGCCTAGAAAGGGGGCATCGACGCAGCAAACGGCACGACAACCGACCGAACCGAACCGACCGCACGCAAGCGACTGTGACGCAGCCGAGGCGACCCAACCCCCGACACCCTTGGTGACCAAGGGCTGGGAGGCCTCTATGCTCGGACGTCCATTGCCCGTGCATTTTTCGATTTCGTGCGTGCATCTTTCGCAAGATAGTCCCACATGTTTCTCGAGGGTAGGGGGTGTTTTCTCTGCAGATGTGCCCAAGCAGACCACCTATGATAAAATCATGCCTAATGCAAAGACGGGGGCCTCGATGAGGCCATGTCTGCCTCTTGCTGTCAGGGTCAAGGGGTCCTTTTGCTCTCGACGATCTCGGGGATCTCCTGCGTCGGCGATGCCATCTCCCCCCCCAAAGAGGGGGGGCGCAAATCATGGCCAGCGGCGGCACGTGCGCGGCCCAAGGGGGGGGGCCAAGGACGTACGGAAATGAGGAGAGGCGCCGCGACATCTGGGGAGCTATCATGGTATGATGGCCCCCCCCCCCTTGGTCCTCCCCCCCCTCCTGGCCGCCTCCGATTGGCCCCCCCTCCTTCCCCGTGGGTCCTCTGACCCGGGTCAATCCAGACCCGGGTCAGTCAGGCCTTGCAGAATCATGCACACTCCCGCAAGATCCTGTACCCAAACCAGGGTCAATGCGACGGATCCTGCAAGATCCTGCAGGATCCTGCACCCGAGCCCGGGTCAATGAGACCCTGGTCCTGCAGGATCCTGCAAGATCGGGCGCTCTGGCTGACCCCCGTTAAAGGGGCCCTGGGACACACAAATAAATACACACAAGTAAAAAGATTCCCCATATTTTTCCATACTTTCTGGGTTTTCGTCTTCCCCCCCACTTCCCAGATCTTCCCATCGATTAATTGTGTCTGTGTGTTTTTTCCCTTCCTGACCCGTTGGGTTGACCCCCGTCTCAAGGCTCCCGAATTTCCAAGAGGGCGAGGGGCGCCGGGGCCAAGGGCGCCCTGCTTGGCGCCGCCAGAGAGGGGGTCCGCGGCGCCGACCCCGGTAGGCCGCGCGGGCCTGCGGCTGGTTCCCAGCGCGGGCCGCAGGCCGCAGGCCACGCGGAAGGGGCCCCGGGACGCACGTACGCACGCACACGCACGCACACGCACACACACATGTACACACACTCACACATACACACACACGCACACACACACACACACACACACGCACACACGCACGCACACACGCACGCACGCACGCCACGCACGCACAACCACACACACACGCGCGCACACGACACACACACACACACACACACACGCCACACACGCACACACACACAACACACACTCTCTCGAATGCACGCACGCACGCACGCACGCACGCACGCACGCACGCACACACGCGCACACACACACGCGCACACGCATACACACACACACACACACACGCACGCAAACGCGTACACACACGCACACATGCACACACGCACGCACAAACGCGCACACACGCGTACACACACACACACGCACGCACGCACGCACACGCACACACACACACCAGCACGCACACGCATACACACAGACGCACACACACAAAAACACACGCACGCACGCACGCACACACAAACACACGCCACACACACACGTACACGCACACACACACAAACACACACACACGCACCATACACACACGCACACACCACACACACACGCACACGACACCACACGCACGCACGCACACACACACACACACACACACACACACACGCACGCACGCACGCACGCACACACGCACTCATACACACACACGCACACACACACACACACGCACGACACCACAACACACTCACACATACACACACACGCACACACACACACACCACACACGCACGCACACACACACACACCAGTACGCACGCACGCACGCACACGCGTACACACACACACACGCACACACACACACGCACACACACACACACACACTCTCTCGAATGCACGCACGCACGCACGCACGCACGCACGCACGCACGGACGCACACACACACACACACACACCACACACACACACACGCACGCACGCACGCACGCACATGGACACCACACAGACACACACACACAAGCACACACGCGCACACGCGCACGCACACACACGCGCACCACACGCACGCACGCACACACACCCACACACGCGCACACACACGCACGCACACAACGACACGCACGCACGCACATACACACACACACACACGCACACAGACACGCACACACCACACACACACAACACACACACACACACACACACACACACACACGCACACAAAACGCACACACACACACACACACACACACGCACACACACACACACACACGCACACACACACACACGCACACATACACACACACACACGCACGCACACACACGCACGCACGCACGCACAGACACATACACGCACGCACACACACACACAAACACACACGCACACACGCACGCACACACGGACACACAGAACTACCCCAGTGCGACCCTACCTAGACGTTGGAGCCCCTAGGAAAGCTGCAGTAGTTGCTATGCTATGCTATGGTATGCCAGGCTATGCTGCGCAATGCTATGCTATGCTGTTATATGCTGCGATATGCTATGCTATGCTATGCTAAGCTGAGCTATGCTAGCGAAGCTAAGATAAAGGTAAGCTACGCTAACATAAATGTGAGCTAAGATGAAGCTAAGCTAAGATGAAACAAATCTCAGCGAAGCTAATATGAAGGTAAGCTAAGCTAAGATAAACCTGAACTAAGATGAAGCTAAGCTAAGCTAAGATGATATCAGCAACGCTAAGGGGACGTAACTGGGGGAACTGCGGGGCGGATGCCGGGGGAACCGCCCGGGGCGAGGAACACTGCCCAGCCCTTTAAGCTCATAAAGTAAGAACCCTTCTAGGCAGAGCCTAGGTAGGGGGAAACAATTGTACACAAAGCCCACGATTCCCGATATGTTTAATTGTTGTTTCAGGTGTTCGTCTTCCCCCCCACTTCCAGTGTTTTCGCATGTTTTCCTAGGTTTTCCGGAGGGATCGACGATTCACTGTTTCTGTGTTGCTTTTTACCCTCCTGACACGTCTGGTCCAGGTCCAACGAGGATCTGCACCAATAGCGCGCGCGCGACGGAGCAGGGGCCAACAGAAGCGACATTGGCCCTGCTCTGGGTGGTCCAGAGGGAGCGTGATCCAATAAGGGCCCAGTGCAGGGATCCCAAAGCTGCCCGATCGACAAACTGGCCCTGGTCTTGAGAAGGGGGGGGCGATGAATGGAGGGGAGGTGCTGCACCTTTTATGATCCTTCGCGCGCCAGACGGCGCACGCCTGCAGGTGGCCTAGATTTATAGCTGCGGGACGAAATTATCACACAATCGACGTCCTTCGTCTGGCCAGACGTCGTGGTTCGTCGGGGGAGGAGTTGGACGGGGAGGAGGAAGCAAAGAGGGATGGAGGAGAAGGATGAGGAGAAGGAGCAGGAGGAGCAAGAGGAGGCGGAGTAGGAGGAGGAAGTGAGAAGGCCTTCTCCTTCTCGCTTCCCCCCCTCCCTCGCCGCCGACAGGAGCGGTGGCGGTCTCAAAGCGTTGACTGGTCAGCCCACGAGGCGAGCCGAGCTCGCCGCAGCGATCGCCGCGACCCAGTCGTCGAGGAGGCTGCCAAACTGCACGGCGGTCACGTACCTGCCGCGCGTCTGGCGCCGCTTGCGCGGGCTCGTCACCGCACCGCCACGTGAGCGAGCGGCGCGCCCAGGGGAGGGCACCCGTTCGGCCTGTCTGGGTCCTTGGGGGGGTAACCCTGAAGGGGAAAACAAACGACGCCCCCCCCAGGTAACTCATCGTGTGTTCGGCGGCCCCGTTGAAGGACTGGGGCTCCACCGAGGGGCAACTAATATGTTTTGTCTCCGGCACCCGACGTGCAACAACGATGACGACAGCGACGACTACGATTTCGAGTGCGACTAAGACGAGGTTTTAAGACCAGTCCTACTCACCGCCGAGTGAACGAGGTGGGGATCAAAACGAACGACCCTTAGAGGTTACTCGTGGCAACAGCTGAACGCCACTCGAAAAGCCGGTCAGGCAGAGATTCGAGTATGATCGGTCGGCATCGAATCGGGAAAACGGATCGGATCAGAGTGTGCGTCGGATACGGCCGCGTCGGCACGGAGCCAGAATCGAGTCGGATCGGCCGCGCCAGGATGCACACCAACGCCGTGCCAGACACGGGACGGTGCGTCGGAATCGACATCGGAATCGGCATCGAATTGGTTGGCATGGAACATGTGGGTCCTGAAGGAAACGGTTCCCTCCTCCTCCTCCTCCGCCTCCTCCTCCGCCTCCTCCGTCTCCTCCGCCTCCTCCGCTTCCTGCGCCTCCTCCTCCGCCTCCTCCGCCTCCTCCGCCTCCTCCTCCTCCTCCTCCTGAACCTCGGAACCTTCCCCCCGCAGGACACGGTTTGCGCCCCGAGTCGTTCTCGAACGGCCCCTGGGACGGGCATAGAGCGCCGAGAAACCCTGGGGCTCCCGAGCCCGTCGTGGCGGACCGGACCGATCGGATCGTAGTGCGAAATTGCCAATGTTGGCGGTGCGCATAAGTGGGTGGAGGAAGGGGGAAGGGCTTCTTAGAAGGAGGCTGCTTCTTAGAAGGCGCCGGCCTTACATCTATAGGTAAGGCCTGCGCCTTCTAACAAGCAGGGGTGCTTCATCTAGGAAGCCCTCCACCCTCCCCCCACCCCCTTTCTGCGTGGCTGACAACGGCACCAGAACTTCTGGATGACCGCGCCGGCGCAGGCGCCATGGTCACCACTGCGCCAAACTGATAGCAGCTCCGCGGGTTTCAGATCAAGAAGCCGCAAACGCAAGGTAGCCCCGGAGGTCGTTCCGGCTTCCGTGTTCCAGCGCCGCTGCGAGTTAGTTGTTTGAGCTGGCAGCGTGTTCCAGCACGCCTTTTTCTAAGCGTTTCCCAATACACGTGCCCGGAAACTCTTCAGAAGGTCCTTCGGAAGCTCTCGCCAAGAACTGCCAGGGTTCTTCGACAAGCCTTCGAACGGCCTTCTGGCGCCCTGCTGTCCGGGTTTGGGACCCCACAAGTCGACAGATCGGGTCGGAGTGGACCAAGGAAGGGTCCAGGGACTGGACGTGGGCGGCGTTTTGTCGGGGCTGTGGCGCGCGGACGTGGCAGAGGATCGGAGGAGGAGGAGGAGGAGGAGGAGGAGGAGGAGGAGGAGGAGGGAGGGAGGGAGGGAGGGAGGGAGGGGGCCAGGGAGGGGGAAGGAGGGGGAGGAGGAGGCGGAGGAGGAGGCGGAGGAGGAGGAGGCAGAGGAGGAGGAAGAGGATCGTGCGGCGGCGCCACGTGCGGCGGCGCCACCATCTGCCCCCCGGGAGCTCGGGAGGCTGAGACTGCCGCACGGAGGGGCAGCGATAGGGGGGGAGGGTTCGGGTAAAGACTAACTCGGAAGTGTCCCTCTACAGGAGGAATATTCAAAATAGTCAGAAAACCATGAGGACTTTTTTAAAACAAATTAATATATATATATATATATATATATTATATATATATATATATATATATGTATATATATAGATTCTGTGGGAGCATTTTTGGAATATGGTTGGTCATTCGTCCAAAATCCGCATGTAGGGGGACCTGCCCGACCTGAGGTTGAGAGGGGGGGAAGACGCATCGCCTTGGAGCTGGCGGCGCAGCGCCGATACAACTCGGCGATGGGCCCCCGACGCGGCGAGGCCGCGCGCTCCTGGGCGGCGTGGGCCGCCGTGCCCCCCCACGTCGGCGATCGGTGGGCGAGCGGGGATCGGCGCGTCCCGCCCTGAGCACCCCCCCCCCGACGTGTTGCCTCTGGCCCGTGGTGGCGGCCTGCCGGCCTCCTCGTCGCGGCGGGCGTGGTCGTGGTCGTGGCCGTCGCGATCGTCGTGGTCGCCGTCGTCGCCGCCGTCGTCGACGCCGCGGCCGTGCTCGGGACGCCTCCGCGCCGCGGCCCGCGCTGCGCGGCGCGCGGCCGCCTCCGCGCCGCAGCCGCGCCCCCGCCGCCGCGCCCCCGAGAGGGGGGGGGCGGCCGCCCCAGCCCGGACCCGCGGCGCGCGCGAGGCGCGGTCCGCTCCGCAGGCCTCGCGGGCGGGGCGCCCCCCGGGGGGGGGGGCGGGCCCGCGGAGGCCCGCCTGGGCCAGGAGGGGGCCCCGGGGGCACGCAGGCAGAGAGGCACGAGTCCAAAGGACGTCCACCATGCTTCCCCATGTCCTCTGGCTGTCCGTCCCCCCCAGCCCCACTTCTCATATCTTCCCTGCGTCTTCTCTTGGGAGGCCCCTGCTCACTGTGTCCGTGTGTTTCTTGTTCCCCTCCTGGTGAGCTGCCCTCTAGGGCTGCCCGAGCGTGCAAGGAACTGCTCGCGTCGCCCCCCCCCGTCGCGAAACCGAGGGGTCCTGAGCGGGCTGGGCTATCAGTCCCATGGAGAGTCATCCCCGCTCGCTGCGCAGAAGAGCAGTCGTCTCGGGGCGGACGCGCGGCGCGCGCGCGGCGGGCCGTTGGGAGAGACGGGCCGCCGCGATCGCACCGTGCGGCGCACTCAGGTGGCCGTGTCCAACACGGGCCCCTGGACGACCATCAGGAGGTCGTAGCAGCGCCGCAGGCCAGCCTTTGAAGAAGGAGGGAGGTAGAGGGTGGGGGCCGAGAAGCTGCAGACGACTGCGTAGCGGGCGCGAATGGGGATAGAGAGGTGCATCCCCGCTCGCTGCGCAGAAGAGCAGTCGTCTCGGGGCGGACGCGCGGCGCGCGCGCGGCGGGCCGTAGGGAGAGACGGGCCGCCGCGATCGCACCGTGCGGCGCACTCAGGTGGCCGTGTCCAACACGGGCCCCTGGACGACCATCAGGAGGTCGTAGCAGCCATACCCATGCTCAAAGCCCTTGCGAAGTGACAAGAGTTCGGCGGGCGGCTGCGAGCTGAATGGGCCACCCGGCAAGGCCAGCATTCAGGAAGGACGCGACAAGGTAGTCGCTAACAGACGCAAAGTACTCGACCAGAGACCGAGAGGCCTCAGGGAGGGCGGCAAGGACAGTAGAAGCGGCAGCGTCTTGCAGATATCCCTCGGCGGTGGACGCCTGGCGCCAGCGGCCCCGCCAGAAGACGCGTGGCAAATGCTCCGTAGCGGCATTGAAGTCTGTGGCGCCTGTGCCTTGAAGGCCAACGGGTGTGATGTCGAACCCCGCAGGCATCTTGGCGAGCGGCGCGCCCAAGCCGACAAGTAGATGGTTCCACCGAGTACGGAAGCCGCTCTGACCAGAGGTCGTGGTCATGAGCGGATCGGTGGGGCCCACATGCCGAAACACAATATCCATAATTTTGACGGTCGCTCGATCCGAACAACGAGCGTATTGAATCGGATAAGACCGACAACTCTCAGGAACTGCAATCGACAAGAAGGCGTCGCCTTCCGGCTCAAGGCGGTCGCATGGCAGCGACAAGTCACAACGCTTCGCGTGGAGAATCTCGCCTGGACGCAGGGACATCGTGAAACCAGCCAGCACCAGGGCAGCCATCTCGGGCCACTCCCACAGCAGGCACAAGCTAACCATCGCGCGAAGGAGCGCTCGGGGAAGCGGCGGGCGGAGCCCGGGGAAGCTGCGGGCATGCCCGAAGAAGCGCGCTGGAGGCTCGGAATGCTTCCACAATTTAGCAACATCCCAGGCCTCAGTCAGCAAACCCCTACAGTGAGGGTGATTGGCCTGCACGCCCAGCACGGCGTGAACAAGGATGTACTGCGGGAGCCCCGCGTCGTGGAGCCAAACTCCGAACGTGGCCAAGAATCTGCCTGCTAAGATCCCGCTGCGGTAGAGCGTGTCAGGGACAATGCCCGTGTGCTCACCTAGCCACAGCTCGAATGCATCGAGCGAGCGTGTACGCCTGCTCTCATCAGCGGGGGTGAAACGAGAGCCCTGGGCGAACGAGATTCGCGCGAGAGGAGGCGCGGGGCTAAGGCCGCGACCGGAGTCAGCGGCAGCGGTCGAGCCAGAAGGCGTCGGCGCGGCTGGGGACAGCTCGGCCCCTGGGCCGTCTAGCGCCATAAGCCGCGGGCGCTGCCGCTCGCCCTGATGTGCGGCGTCAGCCGAAGACAGGACGGCGCCTGACCGCGGAGCGCTCGGAGGCGCAGCACCTGCTGCACGGCGGCGGCGGCGCGCGGGGTGGGGGACTCGCCGATGCCAGGTAATGGCGGCACGGCCACCGCCCTGCGGCGCCGTGTCAGCCTCGCTGTGCGGGACCGTACCTATCCTCGCCTCAGCCTCGGCGGCGCTGTCCACCTCCGCGGGGGCAGCCGGCACTGCCGCAGGCGCAAAAAGGTCCGCCGCCGCCGCGGGGGGCCCGGCGGACGCGGCCTCTCTGACGCAATTGGCAAGACGTGAGCGGGCGCTGCACAATGCAGCCTTACGGCGCTCGAGCTCGGCGAGGAGCGTCAGGATACGCTCTGCCAGCTCTCCCGCGCTCTCCCCAGTCTCCGCACCTCTCTCCAGCTCGACCTCGGTCAGAGCGGCATCGACAGCGTCGACCGCGGTTCGGAGCCGCGCCAAAGCACGCCGTTCGGCACGCGCGCGCCTGACCGCGGCCGCTGGGACAGCGACCTGGCTGGTGCGCATCGCAGCCGAGGTGGCCCACGCCCCGACTTGGGGCGGAC